TATGTTTTTGTATATATTATATGGACCTTGTTCCAATTTTCTACAGACATCTAGCACTATTTGTTAAAGTGACTTTTTTCCATTTAATGGATTTCATCTCTGTGTCAATGATCAGCTATGCACAGGTTGGATGGACTTATTCCTGGATTCTCAATTCTATTGCGCTGGTCTATGTATCTGTTGCTATAGTAGTAGCAAGGTGATTATTGTGGCTGTGTTGAGACCACCTCTTTTACACTATACAAGAGAGAGTAGAGATTGGATCAACACTAGCAACATCAAGAAAGAAGAGCTAGGACTTTTTCACATCCTTGGATTTAAGCTCCTGTACGCAGAAAACTCTTTGGACCAGGAGACGAAGAGAGAAACCATTCCCCTACACCAGCACCCAAGTTTGGACCTGTAGACTCCTAGACTGTAGGAAAATACAATACTGTTTGGTAAAACCACCCCCTTGTGGTATTTCTGTTATAGCAGCACGAGATGACTATGACAGGTGTGGTACATTGACATACTTGTTCCACCTCAAAATAATTTTTGTTGTTGTTATTGTTGTGGTGGTGTACCGTCGAATCAGATCCGACTGGCACAGGAGGAAGTTGCCCTTCCTCCTCCAGCAGAGCATCTGGTGGATTCTAACAGCGTGCCTTTGGTACTGCAGTGCAGCTTCTTGCCACTAGGCCATGAGAGCACCCAAAAATAATTTTTTAAAATGTGTCCATTTTACATTATGATAACCACAACTAATGTTACTAACCTGTATAATGTTTAGTATGCTGAATGTTAAAAAATACAAATAAGGAGCTCTGGTGGCCTAGTGGCAAGAAGCTGCACTGCAATCCCAAAAGGACGCAGTTCGAATCCACCAGAGGCTCTGCTGGAGAAGGAGGGGTAATCTTCTCCTGTACCAGTCAGATCTGATTTGACAGTACACACCAAAAAAATAATAAAATAAAAAAAAATACAAATAAGGTTACATATATATATTTTTAAAAAAATTTTAAAGGGATCATTTTCACAGGGTTTTTTTAATGGAAAAAAATGAAAATACCACTTAGTGGAGCCTGCTAAGTAAATAATGTTCAATGAAATTAATAAATGTAGAAGTGGAAGAGAAACAGCAAGGAGGGACAAGTAATAGAAACACAGCCAGCCAGCGTGTTACATGAAAACAAATGATAGAAAACGGTATGTGGAAAAAAAAATAAATAAAAAGAAAAAAAAAAACCACAACAAAATAAATAAATTCAACTAGTATGTGGTGTGCATAGATTTCAAGTTTGTAAAAACAGAATTTCTATTTTAAATCTGGAAAAAATAGATAATTATAAACAGTAGATAGCATCATGTTGTTGTTAAGTGCCATCGATTCACAGACAACTCAGACCAACACTATGAACAAAAGACCTGAACCTTGTATAACTTTCATAATTTCTCCAAGTTCATAGAGTTTCTGGAGGCAAGCTATTTTGGAAGTGGATGTCACTCCTACTTCTAAGCTTGTTTTAATCGGGGAGATCCACCGAACATTGTCCACCATGGGTAACATTATTGGATTTGACACATCAGTGTCACAGTGTTTAGCATCACAGCAACCACAAGTTACCTCTGTACAGCAAATGGACAGACCAGTGCTATACCTCTTAGAAGAATGTTTGAACAAAAACAATTAAAAATAGCATTATAACATAAGATAGCATTATGGAGGAATGAAATTCTTTTCCCCCAATATTCTTATAATGTTCCAACTTTTTTTCTAATGTGCAGATAGGTTTTTATGATCAGAGGAGAAAAACACAAAGAAAACAATAGTATATATTGACCAAAACTCTTTACTGAAGAGCTGTCACTCATCTTCCAGTTTGCTGTGACTGTGGTGGATTTTGTGCCGCTAGAGGCTAAGCCGCTTCCATTTCAGACACCAGCGTGGTCACCCACGATGGCCAGGTGTCAGCAGAGCTTCTAAGACTAAGACAGACTGAGCAGGAAGCAGGCCTGGCCATCCACTTCTGAAACAGGCCCTTGAGAACTCTATCAATAGCAGTAGAACATTATCTTAGAAGAGCTGGAAGGTAATCAAAACACTACTGGAGCAAACTGCTGCCTCCTCAAACTGGAGTCTACCTTAATGGCATGGATAAAGAGCCTTCATTTCCCGGCATGGCATCACTCAAAATGAAGAGGAAAAGCTGAAAGCATCTGTTAACAACTAGAATGTGGAGGAGCTCTGGTGGCCTAGTGGCAAGAAGCTGCACTGCAATCCCAGAGGTACCATGGTTCGAATCCACCAGATGCTCTGCCGGAGAAGGAGGAGCAATATCCTCCTGTACCTGTCAGATCTGATTTGACGGTACACGCACACAAAATAATAAAAATAAAAATAAAAAATAAAAAACCAAAAAAAAACAACTAGAATGTGGAATGTACAAAGTATGAAATCTAGGAAAACTGAAGCTATAAAACATGGATTGGTATTGACTATTTTGAATCAGACAATACAGGTGGTCCACTACGTTGGCAATTTGAGATAGAATTTTAAAGGCATATTGAAGGCTATATTTTTTGATCTTCTGCAGCAAGTTCTTCAAGGTCAAGAAAAAAAAATTCTCACCATTATACCAATAGGTAACATCAAGAGAGATGGAGAAAGTCTGAAACTGTCAAGGACTTTATCTTCCTTGGATCCACAATCAATATCTTGGTACCAGCAAGCCAAAAGATAAGGTGATGTTACTTCACTGGGAAAGTGTGCGGTTAGGGACCTGTCCAAATTACTGAGGAGCAATACATCAGTTTGAGGACTAAGGTGTGCCTGGTCTTTTCAATTGCTATGCATCTGAGAGCTGAACAATAAATAACAGAAGAATTGATACCTGTAAGTTGTGGTGCTGAAGAAGAGCACTAAATATCCCGTGGACTGACAAAACAACAAACAGAAATGTCTTGGAGAAGGTGCAGCCAGAGTGTTCCTTGCAGGCAAAGATGATGAAGTTTCATTTCACATACTTCGGGCATGTTGCTAGGAGAGGCTATTCCTTGGAGAAGAACATCATGTTTGGAAAGGTGGAGGGAAAGCGAAAGAGAGGAAGACCCTGAACCAGATAGATTTAAACAGTGGCTAGAAAAAAAAACCAAACCAGTGGCTAGAGTAATGGGCTCAAGTATGTTAGAGATTGTGAAAATGTTGCAGAAGAGGACAGAGTTTAGATCTGCTGTTCACAGGGTTGCTATAAAGCCATACTTGACTTGATGGCACCCAACAACATGCTGACAAAGACAAACTGAAAAATGGTGCTGTTTCATCATCAAAAAAGGAACAGTTAGAGATCCGTCCTGAAAGTCAATGCTAATGGGATAATAACCACATGCGTACAAGCAAAAACTGCTAAGTTAATACCACTATTATTCAAATTTATGCACCAACCACTAGAGGTAAAGAAACTGAGGATTTCTACCCTTCTGCTGTCTGAAATTGATCAAACATGAAATCAACATGAATTAATAGTAACAATTGTTGATTATAAAAATAACTGATTACATAATAAGCTGGTGAATGCAAAAGTAAGAAACAAAGACTAGTAGCTGGAAAATGTGGCCTTGGTGATATAAAAAAGAGACTGAAAATTGCATGACATCCTTATGGTAATCAAGTATATGGATACCTACTTTTCATAATGTCTTTAAATGCTATTATCTCTAAGCTCTAAAATTAAATTTTGTAATACTAAACGTATTTAAAAAAAAATTCCTTGCTATAAAGCTACAGTAATCAAAACAGGAAATTAAAAAGACATTTTGTGATGGGAAAGTCGGCTGTTAGAGACCTCTCCAAAGTACTGAAGAGCAACGACGGCAGTCTGGAGACTAAGGTGCACCTGATACAGGCCATGGTGTTTGCAATCACTTGCTATGCATCAGAGACCTGGAGAATGACTAGGAATGACAGAAGGAGAATTGATGCCTTTGAGCTATGGTATTGGAGAAGAGTATTGAATATACCATGAACTGCTAAGAGAACGAGCAGGTTCATCCTGGAAAGTGTTAAACCAGGCTGTTCCGTGGAGGCAAGGATTCTGAAGCTTCGTCTGACATACTTTGGACATGTTGAAAGGAGTGATCAGTCCTTGGAGATGGACTTGTTCATGCTTGGGAGGGTGGAGGGACAGCACAGGAGAGGAAGACCCTCTATGAGATGTAGTGACTCAGTGACTGCGGTAATGGGGGTAGGTGTGTTGGAGACAGTGAGATTGGCACAGGATAGAGCAGGGTTAGAGCTGTTGTACATAGGGTCACACTATAAGTCGCAGGTGACTTGACAGCACATAACAACAACCACCAAAATAGGATGGTACTGAGTCAAGAATACACAAACACAGTTAAACAGAACAGGGTTCAAAATTCATCACTTGACTTTCAACAAACACATCAATATACATAGACAGGGAAAGGAAAATCTTAACAAACAGTATTGGAATAGCTGAATATCCATATGGAAAAAATGAACCTTGACCTCTATTATTTTTTTTTTACCTCTACTTTTTACCACATAGAAATACTAATTTAAAATTGGTAAATGTAAAAAAAAAAAATCGGTAAACGTAATTACAGATTAGAAAACTAAAGAAACTTGTCCAGTGGAACCTCTTATAATATAGCAGAACCTGAGCAGAATACAGGTTCCCAAAGACTAAATTCTTAATCTCTGCTAAAAAAGAGATTGGAGCGTTGGATTTAAAAAGCACCCACTGTGTTTGAGGTTGTATTATTTAAAATGAGTATTAACTATAATTGCCTATTAATTTGATACTTAATAAATAACAATTTGCTATTGTTTTCTTCAATACCAAGGCTTATCTGGGTGCTTAGGACCAGTTTTCCTTGGCTGAACACTGAAGCTGTTGCCTGGCCAAACTGCGTCCTTACTCAGCCTCCTCCAAGGGGGACAGGACAGGAGTTACCCCATTGGCCTTCTGCTCCCTTGTTCCTTCCTCTGAGCTCACCTGAGGGTCCGGCACAGCACTTTCCCCTCCTTCACCAGCTTCAGGGCCTCCTCGTAGGCTGCTGAAGGCCTGGAGAGCGGGACTGGGTAATCTCCGATCTGCAGGGACTCAAAGAGCTGGGGAAAGAATGCAGAGGATGAAGACAGAAGTCAGTCAGAACCACCCGAGGAGCTTCCCTGCCAGGTCAGCTTTTCTGAGGGTATGTGAGAGGGACCACTGACCCAACAAAAGGGGGTGTCTGAGAAACCTGAAGCAGGTTACTGTCCCCTCCCCGGGATCTCCATCTCTGAGGACTTTTCCCAAAAGGACTATTTACTGTCCTCCCGCAGCCATTGGCCAGGCTGACATACATGGTGGCCACAGAAGGAGTCTGAAGTCAAACAATGGGCCCGGCTCTCTGGAGAAGCGTGACGTCAGTGTAACTGGCAGCAGTGAAGGGGAGGGTGCCCCTGCTCGCCACAGCACCCAAGGCCCCTGCTTCCTGGCTCTTCCTGAGAACTGCGCTCAGTCCCCAGGGAGCAGCACTAGCTCACTGCCAAATTCCATCCCCACCAGAAGAAAGGTCTGTGCTTTCCCATGACCCACTGCTCACCCTGCTGGCCTCCAGGGCAGCCTCTGCCTTCACCCCATCCCCGGTTCAGGGAGACGTGAGGTGGGACCACCCTTCCCTCAGCCCTGCGTCACCTCAGTGGCAGAGAAGAAGGAATCCTCCGAGGTCAGGCTATCCTCATCATTGGCCCGAAGCCGCAGCGAGCCCTCTGTCAGGGGCAGCATGAGGGTCCTCTCTGGAAAGAAAAGGGCCTGGTGAGATTTCCACACCCAGTTTCCTAGGATTCATGAATGCAAAGTCTACCAACAGGTGTGTAGAAGCTCTCTGATTTATTGAGCACTTCTTCATGAAGACACTGTATTACCCCCTCAAATGAAGTCTCTCCTTCAAGTCTCACAGCCTTTTGAGGTGGGCACATGATTATCCTCACTTCACACAGGCCTGTCCCCTGGTGAGAGACTGAACCTGAGGCCTGATAGCGCTTGGGCTCTACAAGGGGTGGAGACACTGGTGTGCAGGCACCGGACAAATCGTCCTCCCTTCTTGACAAGCTGAAATGCAACCACTGATCCTGTGTTCAAGGGATGCATGGGCTACTCACTTAGCATCTCTGGCCTCTCCTGTTCAGGGACTGCGGGATTTGCACCTCTGCAGGGGCTTAGGAAATATTCATCCAGAAAAGGGTATAGATCAGCAGGAAAACCCCATGAGACTGAGGAAGAGCCCTTCTCTGCCGCATGGGGCACCCAGAGGACAGAGGAGTTTCCCAACAGGCAAAGCTTCACTGAGGCCACGTGGGGAGAAACCACAGGGGCATGTGTGCTCTTGGCCAGCTTGTATCCCTCTTTGGGTATATGTTCACCAGGACCAGGGAGCCTAAAACTAAAGGGAACCCAAAGGCAGGGACACCCAGCACAGTCATGGCACAGGGCCTGGTACACAGTGGGCACCAGGAAGGCACAGGCTGGCTGAATGACTTCATTCACGCTTGATGATGTCACACCACTCTACCTCAACAAGGCTAACAGGACCTCTGTTCTTGACCCGATGGCCTGTTGGGGACTAATCTCCGTGTGAATCACCCCTCTGCCTGCCCAGTGAGGTCCAGAAGCCTGCAGCACTCAAGCCAAAGGCCTCAAAACACCATCAAGGGGATGTTGACACACAAGTTCCAAAGCCTACCCCTCGCAGGATGGGGAGAGGCACATTGTTCAGGGACTCCCAGACCTCATCCCAGCTCTGCCTGCCCCGTGCAATGGCACACCTCTGTTTTTCAATGGGCCTCAGTTTGCCCACCTGGACATAAGGCAGTGAAACAGAGGAGTCGGAGGGCTCTGAGAGTTTTACTGTGCCTGAGTCCAGCCCCCCTGGTTCTCTCACGGCCCCTCTGCTAGCCCAGGCCCTGGGCCCAGCTCACCAAGGTCCAGTAGCATGTTGTCTGATGGGAAGGTAGAGTCGAACTCGTCCTGTAGGTGGTAGGCACGGTGCAGCAGTGACTCCAGCTTCTCAGCAAACTCCCTTCGCTGCGACTCCGGCTTTGTGAAAAGCTGCGGCTGTTAAACCAGACCCACGCTCCCCGTGGGACAGCCCAATCCCTCACCCTGTTGCAGCCTGAGCCCCGACTCCTGGGCAAGAGGGAGAAGGCTCTGTGGCAAAGGAACCAAGCCTGCACCAATTAGTTCAGCAGCCACCAGCCACAGAATGTGAACAAGCCCTTGAAGTGAGGCCAGTCCAAAACTGTTAATGTGCCACAGACGCAAATGACATGGTCTGGCCAGTGGATTTCCAAGACTTAGCACAAATTAAAAAAGAATGTGGAATATCACATTAGTAATTTTTTTATACGCTCCATGTTGGAATGATAATATTTTATATAATACTACCTTATGTATAAAGCACATTATTAAAATGAATTTCAATTCTTTTTTCCTCATTTTAGTGTGCCCTCTAAGAATCTTTAAATTACAAATGTGTCTCATAAGCATACATGGGTTCAAATATTGGCACCAACAGTTCCAAACTGACCTTGACAAATAATACCCCCATTCTGAGCCTGTCTATCAAGGAGACCGGACATAAAAAGCATTTCACACAAGACTGGCCCAGGGAAAGGATCATGAAGTGATTAATATAATTATTGCTAGAGGGGGGAGGGCTGGGCGGGGAGAGAAGTGCAGCAATGAATGAATGGAAATCCAAAATCTCTGTAAATGTTCATTAAAATTATTAAAAAATATCTATATAATTATTGCTATTGTAAGAGGGGTATGATTAGGAGCTCAGAAAGAACTGGGTTTCTATCCCACTGTCCTGTATTAACTACGTGCACTGGGGAATTGTTTCACTTGTGAGCATCAGGTGTCTCCTCTCTAGAAGGAGAGAGCATGCACCTTGTGAAGCATAGTGTTTGGTGCACAGGGAGCAGCAATAACGGTTAACGGTTGTTACTGTGTTGTTAGGGTGCCAAGGGAATTGCAGCATCGTGCAGCTCTGGGGCCACGGGCAACAACAGCCCACAGGCAGGACAGTGAAGGGACAGTTGCTTGGAGAGGGCATGGATGGCAGGAAAAGGCTTGGCAGAGAGGCCTGGGTGGGTCCTTGCTGGAGGTGGGAGTGGCTTGAGGTGTGAAGTTCACCTGAAATTTCCTCCACGGAGCACAAAGCATTCTGCAGCCTCCTAGGGCCACCAAGGCCACAGCATTGGAAAAAGAGGGACTACTTAGTCAAGCTGAAGAGCTCCTGAGCTGAGTGGTTCAGGCAGGTTCAGGTAGGCTCGACTGGGCTTAGGCAGGCCCAATCCTACTTTCCAGAGGCTACCAGATCCTGCACCTGCAGGGAACTGAACCCCAAGGAGGAGCCAAGGGCTGGTTCTGGTCTGAGACCACTTCAAAGGAGCCAGAATTTGGAGAGACAGTAATAGAAATGGCTTCCACTTGTGGAGTGCACATCCTGACCAGGGACCATGTCACTGCACCTCATCACTCAGCGAGGGCCTGAAGAGCTGGGATTTGTCCACTGGCCACTATGGACAGCTCTGTTAGGAACAGACTATCCGTGCAGCTGGTGGGGCCTAGGTAGGTTTAACAGAGCTCAGCACTGTCCTGAAGACAGAGTCAAGCCATAGACGTTTATGACGAAACAGTCTGGGTTCATGTAAAATAGAAAAGGAAAGCTAAAGTGAAAGCAAGTAAAATATAAATGCTTCTGAGCTCTGTGATCCCACCTTTATGTAAAGACACTATTCATAGAACACACACTTCAACACAGCTCAAGAGCAAAGTCTGGCAGGCTCACTCCCACAGGCGCCATCTCTGGGTGGTGAGATGATCCAGATGATTCTCTTCTCCTGTCTGACTTTCATTTGGGGAGGTGGTTACATGTGGGCCTACATGCCACTCACCAGTGACATCCTGAACCATTTCCACCTTGTGTGTCTCAGTTTACCCATGCAAAATAGTGACGTGAAAAATGATTAAGCTGTACTGTCATCCATCCTAGATGGCCCTCCACATGACCCCTGGAGCTTTTGATCTCATGAATTTGGAGCACTGATCCGGTTGACGCTGAATCCTGACCTGGGGACTCTGCCACCAGCACACTCCTCCTGGGAACTGCAGGGCCATGCAGAACAAGTACCAGGCCTGGCTCAGGCCCAACCTCATCCCCACGTTGAACAGAGGACTCTGCTGAGTTGCCAGGACATGTGCACCTCTTTCCTGACTAATGAGGATAATTCACTTAAAAGAAATTAAGACCTAAGATCCTAAATTGGAACGGTGGACCATGAAAAGAAAAAAAATGTCAGAAAAAACCCATTTTTTTAAAAAAATCCACATTATTTCACCACCCACAGTCAACACTTTCAAGTCTCCCAGACTTCATGCATAGACTGTTCAAGTACATAAACAGTGTTTTATATAAACATGGGACCCCAATGTGCACACTCTTGCCCATTAACAGGATATGTAAATGTATTGTTAAATGAAAACAGGAGCAGAAGAGGCCTCATTTTTTTAAAAAAGATGTGTTATTCTAGTTATTTTAAAAGTTTGAATTATAAATGGCAGGCAAAGCCTTTATAAGAAAAAGAATGTAGACCAGTTTATGAGATTTATGGTTTTTGGTAATAACTTATAATTAATTGAAAGTGAGATCTAAAAAAAACCAGAAAGTGAGATCTAATGTATTTGGGGTTGTTTAATAGGGTAATAAGAGAAGAAAACGCTAACAATTCAATACAGACATCTTAAGTTGACTGATGAAATAGCCGATGGGCAGTCTTCTGATATAATCCAGTAAAGCAGTTTTAAATGACATGAATACATACATATACACAAACACAACTACAAGTATAAAGGGAGGAAGTGGAAAGAAGATTGGTGGATGAAAGAATTGGAGGAGAGATAGGTAAAAGGCATATGGATTATTTCATAATTTCCATAAATCTACCATGAGCCCACTAAAAATTTCCATCAGAAAAAACTAACAAACCATGAAAAGATGGTTAAGACCTGTTGTTTAGTAAAAAGAAATAAGGTAATAAAACCTTATACAAGACAGACTAGATATAAGACTGGGCTTTTATTAATGTTAAAAAAAAACCCAGCCCACATTATAGCCTCTATTACACATTAAGGAGCCTTGGTAGTCTAGTGATAAGGAATTGTGCTGCCAAGAAAAAAGCAAATAGTTTGAATCCACCAGCTAGCTATTCAGAGGGTGAATGGCAGCTTCCTCCTGTGTAATATGTGGCCTCTGAAAACCCAACAGAGGGTCAGATATGAGTCAGTTTTGACTAGACAGCATTTAACTTCACATAACATACAAAATTCAACTCAAAATGGATCACAGACCTAAATATAAGAGCTAATACTATAAAATTCTTAGCGCGAAAAAGCCCGCAAGAGTAATGTTCATGATCTTAGCTAGGCAATTGTTTCTTAGATATTATACCAAAAACATAAATGGCATTTAAAAAAATACAGAAGTAACTATTCATTAAAATGTAAAACTTTTGTTTTTCAAAGGATACCATCAAGAAAAGTGAAAAGACAACTCATATTTTCTAACCATCCACCTGATATAAGAATATACAGAGAATTGTTATAAATAAGTAATGAAAATTTTTAAATGGACAAAAGATCTGAATAGACATTTCTTCAAAGAAGCTATACAAGTGACCAGTAAGCTCATGAAAGGATGCTTACTATTATGGTAACTGACATTAAACTTTTTAAAGAATTGTCAAAAGACAGCCCTGACTCCTGGACTCGGAGTACACCCCCCGTACCCATGTCCCTCCAGTCCTGGGATAGGGGAGGAAAATAGTTCATGCTGTTATCCCACTGGACTTCTGGGCTCCTCTCTCACATAGGTAACCAATTCCCCTAGGTTAACTCCCTGCTTTTAATACTTCTAGTTGTTCCCATTATTTTTAGATATTGACTATCCCATGAACTGCCAAAAACACAAATAAGTCTGTCTTGGAGGAAGTGCAACCAGTGCTCCTTAGAGGCAAGGATGGTGATATTCTGTCTCACTTATTTTGGGCATGATGTCAGGAGAGGTCAATCTCTGGGTAGACATCATGTTAGGAAAGATACAGGGTCAGCAAAAGAGAGGAGGACCCTCAACAAGATGGACTTACACAGTGACCACAATGGGCTTGAGCTATCAGAGGTCATGGGGACAGTGCGAGGTCTCCATCTGCTGACGACAGTGTTCCTGTGAGACGTGGTTGACTTGATGGCACCTAACAACAACAGGCCCTGACTGATTCTCCAGCTTCTGTCTACCTCGTCCCCAAAGAGGTGACCCCAGCTGACTTTGCTTCATTCACATTCTGGGAATTTTAAAGGTAGACCAGCACGAATAAAACAAAAATAGCTCCTAACATCACCACTTTCAAGGACTAAAAACTGTGTTCCCCTAAAATGTGTCAACTTAGCTGAGCCTTGATTCTCATTGGTTCAGTAGTTATGTAACCTGGCAGGGATGTACTGATGTGGTCACTCCCCATGCTGTGATCAGATCTGATCAGTCAATCAATTAGACGGGGGTTAGAGTGGGATGTAACACCTTTAATCAGGTCACAGCTCTGATCTGATGTAAAGGGAGCTTCCCTGAGGGGGAGCCTCTAACATCTTTCCTAAGAGATGAGGGAGAAGGAACAGAGAGAGGTGGAAACTCAGAATCAAAAAAGAAGAGACGGGAACGAAGCATGTCCTTCAGACTCAGGGTTCTACACGGGAGCAGCTCCAAGACCCAAGGAGAGACTGATGCCAGCACAGATGCAGATCCCTAAGGGATGCTCGGCCCACAGACGCTAAACAGAGACACAGACTTTCCCCTGGAGTCAAGAGAAACAAACCCTCCGCTAGAGCTGGTGTCCACACTGCAGACTTCCAGACTCTGAAACTATGACAGAATAAACTTTTTGTTTGTTAAAGTCATTCACTTCTGTTACAGTCATTCATTTCTGTTACAGCAGTGAACTAAAACAATCACTCCTAAGAGTTCTACCCCATAAACATGAGCTAGAATAAGAAAAGTCCAACAGGACAGAAAGGAATAGAAAACAGAAAAGCCTTTTCCCACTTTAACCTCTAGATTCTCTCATATACCTAACTGTTAACAAGTTCATGTGCATCTTTCTAGAGGGAAATAAAGATGCACAAACACACCAGCACTGGCACGTAAGTGTACAGATGCACAACTTTGTAAAAATTTACACATATGGGTCACACTATATACATGGCTCTTCATTTTGAGTTTTCTCTTAAGGCCTCATCTCTGAAATGATAAGACATCAGCTTACACAGCTTCCCTCTCACCTTTTTAAGGTCTGCTCAGTAAGACCAGCCCCTTCAATGATGTGTAGTTATAGTTTATGGGGCTTTGCACTTTTTAAAAAAAAACTAAAAATAGTATTTCAATCAATATCCTAGAACAAATATTTTGGCCTACTTCTTTGAAAATATTTTGCCTTTTTTATTTTCTTTTCCTTTGCAAATAAGTAATATGATATAAAATGGTATTTTAAAAAATTAGTAAAAGGGGGAAAGCAAAGCCATAAAATCCTATCAACTGTGAATATAACCATATTTTTTTTCCTATAATTATATTTTATTAATTTTCATAAACATTTACAGAGATTTTGGGTTTCCATTCATTCATTGTTGCGAATATAACCATATTTCCTTCTAATCTTTCAGGAATACAGCTGATTTTGCTGAGATCAGGGTATGAATAGCACTATAATTTGTTACATTGGCTCATTTTGCCTTCTAAAAGGTCTACGCCAACTAATATTATTATTAATTATGAATAATCATTAATAGGGGCAACCTATTTTTATTCAGTAATTTCCAAGCACGAGGCATTGTGCCAAGCACAATTTATGAATTATTTTAGTTCAACATTCTTACAAAGAAGGAGTGTTTTATCTAAGGGCAAACAGCTAGTGGAGCGTCCAAAGTCAGGCTGCCTCCTACTCCATGCTACCAAGCTTTTCCCATGTAAGAGGGGATGCAGAGGAAGACCACTTACCTCAGACAGCACCTCTGACGCTGTCTCTTGGTTCTGGAGGCTGTCCCCTGGTGTGGGGGTGCTAGTGCTCTGCCCCCTCTGTTCCACACTCAGGGCCTGCTCCCACTTCTGCAGAGCTTCATCAAACAGCTCCATGCCTGAACATGGACGGGAGAGGAGGGAGGGTCAGGACCCCAGCAGAGACCACCAGTGGATACCACCCCAACACAGTGGTCCCACACAGCTCCGCTCAAGAGGGGGCTCTGGAAGGACGATGGGCCAGGTCCTGATGTCTTTGTCAGGTTACAGGCCTTCATTCAGACCACACTGGTTCCAGGAGAGTGCTCCACGCCCAGAAATGGCTGGCAAGTACTAACTGGGGTATTGAGGTGGATGTATCACTATCCACAATATTCTGAGCCTGGTCTGGGCACCTGATGGAGGTCATTTCGCCCCTGCCCAGTAAAGCCAGACGCCCAGCATCGGGGCCTGTACCTTGTATGTAGAGGCTCTCAGCGTTGGCATCACTGGCAGTCACAGACTTCTCCATCGTTCTAGCATCCCATGGTCCTGAGCAGGCAGCTGTGGGGCTCGATGAGTTCACCACCACCATCTATACACACGCAGCACAGAGATCCGAGGGCATGAAGTAAGGCCTTCCTGGACCCTCTGCAGGATCCCTCTGAGCCTTCCCCATGACCTCTGCAAATACTGTCATTGCACTAGTCCCTAGCCATTGTATCCAAGTCCCTCACGTAGCTGGTTCTACAAACTCCAAATGTCTGGTGATCCCTAAGAAACTGTCTAAAAAGAAAGAAATTCTGGGGCCAATAGCAGTCTGGTAAATCTCACCCTGAGCCCAGCTCCAACCTACTCCCTGCTCTTAGGCTCCTGCCAGTCTGACAAGGGCTGAAAAAACAGGTATTAAAGGCTGGATCAGGCACCAAGGCCAAAGTGTCACCACACACCCTCCCAAGCTGGGGGCTCCTCCAGGACTGTCCCTGTGTCCTGAGGGTAATGCCTGGCTCAGAGCTGGTGAGTGAATTAATACCTACAAACTAAATGCCGTTCTCCAAAAGAAAAAAACTTCTTTGTCTTTTTTACTTCCACATCTCCAGTGCTCATCAGAGTCCCTGACACAAAAGAGATGCTTATTTATCATCGATAAAGGCATAAATGAATGAATAAATAAACTTTCAGAGATAAGCATCTTTCTCAAAAAGACTATAAACTTCTCTTGTGCATCTTATTCAATTCACCTTTTCTTATCAATGCTAGGAACGTGAAAGTGAATAATAAAAATCTTTGAAAGCTTGCACGGATGGATGAATAAATGGGAAGCATGGATAGAAGAACTGACTGACTCAACTTTTCTCTCTCCTCCTACCAACCAATAAGGTCCCAGAGACTGGCAGAGTCTCTGGCAGAGACAGGGGCCCACTTGAGCCACTGAGTCTGGAGGCAGTGACAGGCATCCCAGTTGCCCATGCCCAGCCTGGAAACCCAAGCCCAGGTTCTCACCGAGGCCAAGCTGTGGGAAGAGCCTGAGTGCTTGCTGGGCTCGATGGAGGAAATGCCGCTCAGAGTGTCGTTGCTCTTGCTACTGGGGCTCTGTACCCTCCGGCTGGAGTAGCCTGTGAGGAACAGGAGGGCAGAGGTCATGGCAAGCTCTCACCTGGGCTGTGCATGTGCTGGAACCATCCTCCCACTGACCCATGCCTAAGTGCCAATCCTGATCTACAAGCCACGGCACAGTAAGAACACTTGTTGTCATGAACACACTGGGCCCCTACTTGTTCTCCTGCTCCTTCTCAGATCCCCACCACCCAGCACAGAGCATGCACCAGAGAAGAGCCAGCTCTGCCAGGGGGAGCCTGAGAAAGAGCTCCGCTACTACTTCCCACCTCTTTCTTAGTTTATTTCTTTTGTGCTGCTGACCACCTGACTGATTCAGAATATTCCCTGGTTCCAAGAAGAGATTTGAAGCCACAACTTTAAAAGAAATTTTAATGTATTAATGACGCTTTAAGGAGCTCTGGTGGCATAGTGGTAAGAAGCTATACTGCAATGCCAAAGGCATGCACTTCAAGGCCACAGGCTTCTCCGTGGGAGAAGGATGGGCAATGTCCTCCCATGCAATTAACTGACTCTGTAAACCTGCTGGAGGGTCAGCTCTAGGTCAGTTCCAACTTGACAGTACTCAAAAGCAATAATGACACTTTTTAAAAAAGAAAAAAACCCTTTTCTCAAAGAAAAGTGTTACTCACTACTCACTGCCATCGAGTTGGATCTGACTCACAGCTGACCCACCTATGGGTTTAAAAGGGCTGTAAACTGCACAGGAGGAGACTGTCCACGTTTCCCCCAAGAAGGAGCGAGTGTACTTGAACTGCCCACCTCTGGGTTGGCAGCACAACTCCCCACTGACTAGACTAGCAGAACTCCAAAGGAAAGTAGGAAACAGAAATGGGGTGGAACCAGAGGGTATTAGCACAGTCACTTAAGATCAAGGTCAGGGCCCCAGTACCTGTCAGCCAGCTGACATTTTAAGGTTCTGCCTGGTCTAGCCTAAAACTCATCTTTCCAATTGTAAAGATAAAATTCCCATTTTGCAATGACAATTTTTTTTATTTTAAACAGATTTTCACCTAGAGAACCCCTGGTCAATGCAAGAGAACCTTGTAGTATTTCTGCATGGCAAACAGTGAATCTTTGGGGTACAACCAATAGGGGACTACAAAGATTTACTGTTTTTTTAGAAAGATGAGTATATAAATTAATTTCTTTCTAAATATATATTATCTTAAAATCAATTTTTAAAAGAGGAAAAAAGCACAAATGTGCTATTCCTTGGTTCTTTCAAGTATTCAAGAATAAGTTCTGAGGGGGAAAAAATGTAAGTCTAAATCCATCCATTTCTAGTTATAATTTTAATATGATTGTTTTTTTAAAAAAAGGAGGGGAAATGATATCAGCAGCCACAAAACAGGTCAGTAGGTAGCAGCCAAGGGCAGGAGTAGGGACATGGGGAAATCTACAGGGTGATGGAAAAGCTCTTAATTAATGGTGTGTACATGTTGAAACTCCTACAACTGTGTGCTGAAAAGGGCAAATATTACTGCACATAAATTAAATGGCAATTGAAATAAAATGGCACAGCTCAGTAATGGTTTAGCCTTTGTTGCCCCTAACCCTGGAGAGTCCTTCCCTAGTCTGAAGATGCATGCTCCATCAGCCCCCTCTGTGCCCAAGTACTCCCAAAGGGGTCCTCACCCAATGAGAAGGACCAGAACCACTTATAAGGCCTATGCACATCACCCCTCAAATCCTCAAAATGACTCGAGGAAGGAAATGCCATTGTAATCTCCACTTCACAGGCGAGGGCACTCAAACTCGGGTGAGTTCCTTTCCACCCACCTTTTTTCACTGATGGGACCTTCCTGGCCATCAGGACGGGGAGGGGCACCGTGCCCAGCTGCTCGCCTCCCATCTTAGGGCTGACCTGCTTCTTCCTCCGACGTCGCCTCTTCAGCTGATGGGCAGCCAGCGTCAAGGCCACAGTCCCCAGGGCTGTGGCAAAGAGGACCTTCCGTAGGCCAGGTGTCAACCGCAGCTGGGAGAAAGCTGACTGCAGGAAGAGAGGGGAGGTGGCAAGGTTAGTCTCCCCAGGAAATTCCTGAGGCAGGTGGAGCTGCCCAGTAAAGGATAGAGAGTACCTTGGGTGCCCAGTGAACAAAATGCTGACCAGCTGAATGGCTGAGAGGCAGCCACCTCCACAAGAGGGCACGGCCAGCCTCTCTGAAGCACAGACTACAGAGATTTAAAGAAGGAACAAGCAGGACGGTAAAAGAGCCGTGCCAAGCAGATCACAGATGTCCATAACACCATCAGCACCTGACTGAATACCCTCTATGCCAGGTACCACACAAGGACTTTACCTGTGTTAACCTACTAGAATCTCTATCATATTCCTGATGAGGAAACGGACTCTTATACCTATTAAGGCACATGTCCAAGGTGACACTAGTGAAAAAAACACTGAACCCAGATCTGAGAGTTCAACTTCTCAATGGACCCTATGAAGATGACAGTATTCACTCCATCACGTGTACACATTCTACCAATCCATCCTCAGCACTGAGTCGGCTGAGAGCCACTCAAGAGGGGCTGTATCCCTCATTCCCTTTCCGTAGTGTCTGGGGAGGCCTGGAAAGCTACAGGCACTTATGGTTGGTGAGTAAGGCATTAGTGACCCCTCTGATAGATTAAGAAACTAAGGTAGAAAGTTCATTCAGTCTGGGTCCCCAGACTACTAACCCAGTCCTTCCACCAGATACCAGGGGCAGTAACAAGGAACCAGCTGTTCCAGATGCTGAGAGGCCCCTGAACTGAGGGGCTCAGGGTTTCATAGATTGACCCTTACCTGGCCAAACGTTGTATACAGAAACACAGGAATTTCAGCCACTGTCATGGCCAGGGCCTGGATCATGGACATGCCCTCTGTCCGCCGGAACGCCATGGCAGGACCAGCACCCTAGGCAAGGGCCCACGAAGCCAAGGACTTCCAGAGAGGACGTCTTCAACTAGCTGCTGACTCGTTCCTAGGCACTGTCCACAACCCAGAAGCACTGGAACACACAGACCACACGGTCCCACCACAGAGCTGAGGGGACAGACAGTCAGGTCAGATAGAAGGGCATGCACAAGGGTTAACACAGAGAATCCTGGGAGATCAGGTGCGAACGGAGTCCTGCCTGAAGCTCAGGGCTGGAATCAGCTTTCCATCAACCACCAGCAAGGAGGCAGCCAAACACCCACAGGCCTGCACCCATCCTGAGCTCTGGGCCAAAATGACAGCTCTCTAAGGGGCTAGCCCAAGAATGAGCATAGAGCTGAAGACAGGTCACTCTCATACTGGGGCTTGATGCCAGACTTTCTCAACTTTTTATAACCCATTTCTCTTTTACTAAACCAAAGTCTTAGGCCTCTAAAGGTGGAGGAGGCCCCTGACCAAGAATCATTACTTCATCTTTTTACCTCCCATAAAGTCAAGAAAGTTTTACTTCCTGTAGGCTGTACTGCACACGTTATTTTATTGAATCATTATAACTTTGTGGCATAGATGCTGACCACAGTCTACTTTCCAGTGAGAAAACTGAGGTTCAGAAAAGGCAAGTTAAGAGTCTAAGGTCACAAAAAAAAAAAAAAAAAAAAAAAGTCTAAGGTCACATGGATGGTATATATACACTACAATCAGGGTTGAACAATGGTCTATCAGATCCCAAACTCTGAAGTCAACTCAAGCCTTTTCCTAAATTTGACATGGAGCAGAACCCCAAAATACAAAGGCCAATTTCCCCTGGGGCCTTCTGAAACCCTCAGGATACAAGTAATGTCCCCATACCAAGGGATAAATAGCTTGATTACCTATGGTCCAGTTTCCAAAATTCTGTATGATACCTCTCAGCTACTACTACCCAGCTCAAGGATACTTTCAAAGTCTCCTGGGACCTCAAGCAGAAGGAACATACAGGCCAGGGCAGACCCTGTCCAGTTGGGATAGTGGCCAAAGTCACTGGATCAGCACGGGAAATGGCTTATCCCCAGTGAGTAGGAAGGAGGACAATGCTCTCAGTGTAGCTCTAGCACAAGAGGGGAGAGTAAGGGGTAGGGTAAGATTCTAGGACCAAGGAAACTGTCATGTTGTCAAAGGTAGGAGACATTCAACCAGGTGGCTGAGGATTGAGCTCCAGGACTTTCAGTGGTCAGAATTCAGGCTAATATTTTAAATCATTCCCCCTCTTCTCCAGACCTGGCCCAGGCTTCACAGAGGAGTGAAGACAACATTACCAGAGAATCAGCAGCTACTGACTATGGTACTAAAGGCCAGGTCAGGAGCAGACTCTCCACCAGGGCTTACCATAATTACTGTTTGTCTCAACAAGGGGGAAACTAAGGCTGAAGAGTAAATAACCTGACCAAGGTCACTAAGTAAAAGGTCAAGATGGGGTATGATCTCAACTTTTTAGGAACCCAAGGCTGTAGCCTTTCTGTGTTCTTCAGTACTTTCTGTGTCCTGCACTCAACCATGTCGCATGTCCCCAGTTGAGGAGCCCATGGAAAGCGACAAAGCCCAAGCATGTTCCAAGCAACTGAAGGCTAAAAGGGAAGGGCAGAGGCCTGACAAGAGCAGCCTCTGCTGGCCCCACAGAAGAGTGGAAGGTGCAGGGTAGCAGTAGCAGCAGCCCATTTCTGGGCAGGAATGAATCCAGCCCCAGACTATCTCCTTCCCAGACGGGCAAACCTACAGCATTGACTCTGCCCCCTTTCTACACTTCAGTGCTATACAGTCTGGCCGCCTCTGCTGACCTAGAACCCTGGGCGGGCAACTTCTCATTCCACAGGCTCTGTGGCACCTACACCACCTTTAGCCTAACCATCATGCTCATCCCGGGTAACGCCCTCCTCTGCCCTGGATTCCGATAAGGACTGGCCTGAATACCTCTTCTTCTAGCCTGATCACAGCAACAGACCCATCACCCCTTGTGCCCAATCTCTCATTCATTCCATCCAGAGCATCGCCCTTAACCCACCCTGCCGGGGATCCCAGCCTTGGACCTCCTCGGTAACATGCCCTTCCGTAGAACCTGCTCGTTCTGTCCTTGCGCAGTCCTGCTCAGGCTGTCTCTTCTTTTACCCGGTTCCCTGGAACATCCCTGGGAACTGTCCATTGCTCCTTACATCCTGAGTACTTCCCAGTCCTGGGGCAGGTGAGTGCGCTCCTGTTCCCGACCCACTCAACATTCCAGACCAAGTATCATCTCTCTGATCCAAATACCTACTCCTTCCACCGCCAAAACAGAACACCCTCTCGCGCCGCCCTCGGACCCGGGACGGACTCACTCCGAGCAAGACACCTTCTCAATCGGGCTGAGCTCGGCCACCTGCACCCCTGCCCATGGCCAACCCTCACAAACCACAATCCTCTCCAGCGCCGCCCGACAAACACAGCTCCGGACCGCGACTCACCCGGGATCCCATCGCTGCGGAAGGGCACCGTCTCCTTTCCCAGCAGCTGCGCAACCAAGCACGCGGCCACTGGAGGGCGTGCCCTCGCGCGGGTGCCTCTGGCCAATGAGATCAGACCCGAGTCCAGAGATGTGTGTCACGTGACCAAAGTGGGCCGCTCTCTCTTTCCTCGCTCTCTACCCCGCCTTCCAAGTGCGGTTGAGGCGAGGACGTGATCTCTTCTCTCCGACGATTGGCCGTAAGAATCAGATTGACAGGGGCAGATGAGTTAGGCGGAGCCACTCTTAAAGGGAAAGTCTGTAAGATCTGAGGAGCAATGATGTTAATTTGAGGACTAAGGTGCGCCTAATTCAGAACACGATTTTTTCAATGACTTTCTATTAATCTGAAAGCTATGAATATGATAATGAATAAAAATGATAGAAGAATTGACGCCTTTGAATTGTAGTGCTGGAGGAGAATATTGAATATCCCATGGACTGTCAAAAGAACAAACAGATGTATCTTGGAGAAGGTGAAGTCAGATTGCTCCTTGGAGGCAAGGATGGCGAAGTTCTGTGTCGTGTACTTTGGGTATGTTGTTAGGAGAGGTTATTCCTTGGAGAGGAGCATCATGCTCGGAAACGTGGAGGAAATGTAAGGGAGAGGAAGATCCTCGAAAGGTGGATTAACACAGTGACTGCAGCAATGAGCCCGAGTATGTCAGAGATTGTGAGGAGGGCACTGGATAGGACAGGGTTCAGATCTGTTGTTGAGAGGGTCGCTTTGAGTACTAGACATCAAGGCACCTAACAACAAAACTTTTAAAGGGGCTAAGGCAGACCATTCAGATTTAACATATGCCTGTGAAGCATCAATATTCAAATTTCTCTGGTAACGATCTTTCTACATTGTCCTGAAGTTATTTGCAAAAATGCCTTATCATCTCTCCAACATAGTATCTCCTTGAAAGTTAGGAACATAATTCAGTTATTGTTGTTGTTGTTGTTGTTGTTATGTGCCATCAAGTCGCTCGCAACCCTATGTGCAACAGCTCTGAAACCTGTCCTGTCCTGAGCCAGTCTCATGGACTCCGACACATCTACCCCCATTGCCGTAGTTATTATATCAATCCATCTTATCCGGGATCTTCCTCTTTTGTGCTGTCACTCCACCCTTCTGAGCATGATGTCCTTCTCCAAGGACCAGTCTCTCCTGGCCACATACCCAAAGTATGTGAGCTGTAGCTTCCAAACCCTAGACCCCAAGGAGAAAGTTGGTTTTACCCTTTCTTTTTTTTTAAAAAAAACAACAACAACTCTTTTTTATATATATTATTATTAAATTTTATTAGTTTCAATGAACATTCACAGGGATTCTGGGCTTTCACTCCTTCATTGCCGCACCATTCTCTCCACCCTCCTCCCCAGTTTGTTCTTCTTCCCCGCCATCCGAATGTCTGTTTTAATTGTCCAATTGCCACAGTGCTTGTCAAAGTCAGTTCTGATTAATCTCCTTTGTCGGTGTGTCCTTTGCCATTCCCTATCACTCCTCCCTGAGAGAGACTTCACCCTGATTCATAAGGAAAAGGGGATGGCGTATTCTCTTAGCTACTTCCTGCTGAAAAGGGACGCTGTGGGTTTCAGGGTGAAGATCTTCTCTCACTACTCTAAAGGGCCCCTTTGGCAGTAGGAAACACATAGACTATTATGGAGATTGATTTTGGAATTTAGATGCACTCTTATTGATTGTGCTTGGCCGTACATGTTCATATCCTTGAGGATGTATCATGGGGGTGTTGCAACCTAGAAGACACAAATTTGACTAGCAAGTTATAAGTACATGAGTCCAAAAATTATGGAAAAGTAAAAGAAAGGATTCTTTCATCGTTTTACAAACCCTCCCCCAGGTCCCCTCCACCATGTAGCCCTCGCTCTAGACTTCTGTGATGACAGAAGTACCTAGTCATATATCTCTTTTAAACAGTTTTCTCCCTCCTCTGTTTCAGTGCAGTATACATTATTGAACCCATCTTACTCAGTCTCTCCCCAACCCCAAGGACAGTCCCATTCTACAACAGTGGCATCATGTAATATTTGTCCTTTTGTGACCGGGATATTTCACTCAGCATAATGTTCTCCAGAGTCAACCATTTTGAATAATATTGCATGAGTTCCTTGTTTTTTAATGCAGCATAGTATTCCATTGTGCGAATATACCACAGCTTCTCTAGCCATTCGTTTGTTGATGGGCACTTAGGTTGTTTCCAACTCCTTGCTATTGTGAACAAAGCTGCAATAAACATGGGTGTGCATATATCTGCTTAGATGTCAGCTATGGTCTCTTCAGGGTATATTCCCAGTAGTGGAATTGCTGGGTCAAATGGTATCTCTATTTGCAACTTTTTGAGAAAGCGCCATACTGCTTTCCACAGGGGTTGTACCATTTTACACTCCCACCAACAGTGAATCAGGTTTCCAGTTTCTCCACAACCTCGCCAGCATTTGTTGCTTGATGGTTTTACCCTTTCTAAGGCAGACCTATTTGTTTTCTTGGCAGTCCATTGTATGTTCAAGACTTCTCCAGCACCACAACTGGAAGGCATCAATTCTTCTTCTGTCATCCTTAGTCATTGTTGAGCTATCTGACACATAT